CGTAGTAGAATCGAAATCACTATCTGTCCAAAGGAAAGACGCTGCACATGCTGTTTTTCCTAGCCCCCCTTTCGCCCGATGATTATCCTTTACTGCATGACCTCAAGGTTATTATATTTGGTTTCGAACATATCCATTTGGAGAGTATTGATTGCGGGCCTCGTGGTAGTAATGAGTGACCAGTTAATTGTTTAATAATTATGCAAGAACTTGCAGAAGTCAAGCAACCCCTCAGACATGCTGCCAACAGCTGCAGGAAAGACTGGTGCTTCCTAATTTTTGGTAAATACAGCTGCAGCAAGCGTCTTGCCAGCAGCTATCATGGCCTATTTCCTTGTCTAGTTACAAAGCTCAACAAATCGATTGCCGACTAATATGCTTCTTGGTAACCTAGAGATACCATGCAGGACCTCAGCTACTGGGCAATGACAAGGCAGCGTGTGCAACAGAGAAGCAACGTGTGCAACATTTTGCCCTTAGAGGACAGAGAAATACCACGATGACGCCTCCCTCGGGTAGGGTAGCTGAGCCGGTGGGACATCCAGGGCCGCCGAGTTTTGGTAGATAGAGGGTCGCCGCCCATTGCACCTCATGCTCAGAGCTTGACAGAGCCTTAAGTGCTCGCAGTTCAGGACAGCTGCCCTGGACGACACAGGGTTTGATGACATAAGGTTTTCCAGCACTCCATCGTCTATCTGAGTCGACTCGCATGCCCTCACCCCCCAACTGTGCCCCTCACATCGGTAGGAACATGACACATGTGTCTGTTATTCCTCTACTGTTCCCAAGGGCACCTTGGGTAATGGTGAGGGCTTAGCCCCGTTTTCACCCTACCAAGTCCTCATCTCACATGGTTCATGCCCTCATGACTGACACCCTCTTCCCAATCTCCCGACAGCTATCTATATTCTCAATAATGTGTACTCCTTGCTAATGATGCTCCTCAGTGTCCATCTCTTCTAGCATATCTTACACAGATAGCCACCCCCGTCTGTCATGTGCTACGACCCCACCACTTGCCCCGCCCTTCGCTACTCCCTCCTATGTCATGAATCTACTCCTGAACCACAATGAACTGTCCCTCCACCTGTCGCCGGTCATATGCTGTACATATTTCCTACTGGTGTAGTGTCTGGTTTTTTGTTCACTCTGCCAGGACCGAGCATGATTCACTGTCTCCGTCAGCAGCCATTGGTTCGAACTGGGAGGACACCACACCTGCATAAGCCAGGGTTGACTGGATCCTCATTTTTATCCAACTTCTAATTTGCTCGCCCGTTCATACTTTCAAGCCGACACGGGGTCCTCGTTGTTTGGCCGCTGCCCGCCCTTCATTGTTTGGCCGCTGCCACGCAATTGCGAGTGGTTCCTGTCGTTTGGTTTTACTAGAAGCCGTGCAATTGCCTCCACTTCGGCGAGCGCTGCCACTGCAGGGTACCTGTTGCTGGTATGCCGAGGCAAAACCCTTTCCCGTCCGGCCAAATCAGTGTTTCTGATCAACACCTACTGGACATCTCGGCTGGAATGAATTGGGACATGCCAGCAGCCAGCAGCGTTCGTTTTCTTGCAGTGAGGGGCACAATATGGGTAGGAGATTGCCAGACAACATATAATTTCACGTTGGTAGAATACCACTTGCATATTGACGAGGTGCCATGGATCATCTTTTCGACCCTCGCCGACGCCCTTGAGACAGAGTTTGACCCTGCCTTCTGGGATACCGTTAATTATGGCCGAAAAGAGCGGTGGGGTTTTCTTGAACCACCCTGGGATGGAAAAGTCTACGGTGCTGCACCACAGTATGCCCAAGTCCGACTATCCATCTTTAATCGTGACGCTCACACCATGCGTGTTGTGCAACCGTTTGTGTGGAACCATACTCACCTAAAAGTTCACCCGAATGGAGCAATGGTTTTCCATGACCAAAAAAGATTAGCCTTCCTGCTGCCTTTGATAGTAGAAGCCCATGAGTTGCTGCCGCCTAAGCCATTGTTCTGGGTCAATGAAGACAACACCATCCCATTGTGGAGAACCACCCTGTGGACGCATGACGAAACCATCCAGTGGTTAGCTGAGACCGGAGAGCCGTACCCGCAGGAACTGCGAGATGAACTCCAGCCACGCATTGACCAACTTAAGTCTTCACAACATGCGAAACGGGCACTGCCTCCGCCTCCGCCGTTACCGACCAGGTGGACGGAGCGATCCGCAGCAAAACAGCCAGTACAAAAAATGCAAGCAGATGCTCCGCAGGACCCTAAATGTACTCAGAGCACGCCACAGCAAGTGGCTGACCGAGAGCGGCAATACATGGAATTGCAGTCTATTATTCATCAAGCAAACCAACAAACGTTGGCAGATAGCCGACCAGCGGCGACCAGACTGACCCAAAAACCAGCCAATTTGCTGGCCGCAAGTCAACAAAGCACAGACAATGCAGCAACTGCCGCATCGTCCAATCCCAGTACAGGCGTAGTGGCAGAAGCTCCAACCCCGCACCAAAGCAAGCCACCTGACAAAATCAGTGCACAGTCATTATTTCACAGAAGACCAGGCCCACCATCGGCCCTGCCTGCGAACAAAGCGCAAACGGATACCCCGGGTACCGGCGTGTTATCCTCTGACTCTCACTCTGCAACTCACAGCAAAGATGATGAGCAACAACAACCTCCGGAACAGCTCGCAGCCCACGACGACACATCAACAGAAGAATCGTCGCCTGCAAATACACCCAAAGCATCGCCAGAGACTCAAGCGACTGACACTGCTGGTGCTAGCAGCCCTGAGCCCGCCAGTGACTCCATGCAGGACGTCGACCTCGCCGCAGCGGACATCCCAACGTTGCAGAACATGGAAAAGACAGCCTGTGAAAGAGTGGCCTCCTGTGAAACGCGACTCCTCAATGCCCGCGAGCACCTTACTCGCATTAGAAAGCGCCTTAAAAGAATGCAAGATGCCCACTCACCAGGCACTCCGCAACCCTCTCCTGTTGCAGATATGGAAATGGAAATCATTGACTGACCGTACAGACAGCTAGCACTGTGTGCACCTGACTGTGTGAAACCACCTGATCAGTGCCATTTCTAATGCCGCCTACTCCGTAGATACGCCAAGAGAAAAGCAGCTGCGTGCCAGGCTAACACCCCCCAAACCTGCAGTAAGGGAGAGTACCCACTTAAGTAGGACCCCCATGAACTGGGGCAAAGGGATTTATGGGTTTTTCAATTCGTTTGAACTGTCTGCGAAGTTTCCTTGCTAGGTGTGTGTCCCAGGTCCTGTCACCGTTGGTCACCTCAATGTCTGTCGAACTAACATGTACTTTGGGTAAGTAGGTTGCATAAACTGTTAGTGGCTCAATTGTTCGCACTGCAGCTTTTGTGGCTCCACTAGTTTTCATAGCTAGGTCAGCCATCTGACATCAATTCGCACACTAAGGTGTAAGACAAACCCTGATTGTTTTGCTTCCTACCTGTTTCACCTCCAACGCATTGGCCCTGTAAGGGGGAACCCTGACCCCGGGTGCCGGGTGTTCAGGGTTTCCTTAGCCTTGCCAATCCTGTTGATATACTTTTGCACTCGCTGCCCGTATAGCATTCACTATCTTGGCTAGTCACTTGGCACCTGACACCCGGGCACCGGCTGTTCAGGGTCAAGCTGGCGTCAACATGCTGCAACAGCTTATGACACCAAATAGGTTCATTTCCTTGACGTCGCCTGACCCTGATGAATCAGAGACAGACATCGAACCAGCAGAGCCAACCGCCCCAGATAACACAGTCGAGGATGTGTCAATGCACAGTGATACAGAATACTTTGACGCCCTCGAGACGGATGACGACGTTCCATATTTTCAACAAGGGACTGAGCCTCCCCCAAGGGAGAAGTGGGAAATTGCCGCACCTATCGATTTCTTGAATGTTCAAGAGGTCACACAGTTAAGCCACCAGCTTGACCAACTGTTCCTCTCGCAAAAAGAAGTTGAGACCCCGCTCGGCATGGATGACATAAAACAGAGGTGGAAATGGGACGATGTCGGCTCCTGTCGAATGCCCCGGTCACCCCTGACATACCCTGCACTCATGGTGGACGAAGGGAACGGCATCCAACGACCCGCAGCCAGCCAGGTCCATCATAGAACGCTCTTCCAGTGGATAACAGATAATCTCTCATGGTTACCTCAGTATGCCACCGTCTATGTTTATGTGGACAACCGCAAACTGTCAGGCACTGACCCTCCAGCCTACTGGCCGCATTTCGCACCCTGGATCAAAGGCCGATGTACAGTGACTGGCCCTTACCAGGAGAAAACTACTGCGATCCATTTTCCCATTCATGCTGACACAGGTTTGCATCAGGTCCATTATACCTGGGCTGGTGCTGCAGCTCTGGAGGCGCTTTGTTTAATGTTCCCCACCGTAAATTTTGCTCTCATCGACTCTGACTGCGTGCCGACCTCATTGTTTGAAATAGCCGAGCTCGTCAATCTCATGACGGATAAGGAAAGCAGAGCCGCAGCAATGCAACATAACACAATGGCCAGCTCTAACCAGTGCCCTCCAGCAGTACTCCTTGCCACAGAAGCCAAAGCCGAACTTAATGCCGGCTTGATCCTGTTCTACAACGTTGGGGTAAGGCAGGAGGCGCGGTGCGCGAAGAAACTAAAACTGAAACAGAACTAAAACAAACGCGCGCATCGCCATGTTCGAGGAAAACATAAAACTGAAACAACGTGAAAACGAAACTGACATCACAAGCCACAACTGAAATTCGAATGCACATGCGGAAAACAAAACCAAGATCACTGAAAGTGGATTGCTGTCACACGCCTTTTTATCGGTGGTAGACGGCACTGAAACAAGGTCTCAAGTCCAATCAGCGGACATTCATCCAAATCGCTTTCCATCCGTTTGGTTTTCTCAACACAGCCGAGGGCAAAGCTCCCCCCTTTTGCAAAGCAACGAGGCTGCACAACTGAAACTGAAACTGAATCGGGTTGCAAGTCAACCCCAAGCTGATTTCTCAAATTTGTCTCTCCCTTTTCCATACACCGCCCAAGAGTCGCGGTCCAAGAATTCATGCCTCGCTTCCCACAGGTCCAAAAGCAAGGAAAGATCTAAATCTGAAAGCGCGACATCAATCCTCTTGTTCAAATCGACATCGCCAAACCTGGAATTCGTCAGGTCATCGGCCAAAGTGTTCTGATCCCTCGGCCTCCAAGCTAAGCTGATTCTGACACCGGCCCTCATCAAGCAGTGCGACAGTTGCATGTTAACTAATGTGAGGGGCCAGCGTGTAGTCGAATTCTTCCTGGACAGGAAGTCAATAGAGCGGTTGTCAGTTCCGCTCTGCACCCACAGCCGGATGCATGTTCTTCCCGACTTGGGCTCTAAGTAACCAAAGAGCTGAAGCGCAACTAAAACTGAAAGAAGTTCTGCAGGTGCCGACGCCCACTCACTATCCCCATTCTCCTTGAAGAGGTAAGGCGCATCACGGGGCGTGACACGCACAGAGAACCACTTGCCATCAGGGAAATGATAACCAGCTAACACCACAAGGTTGTTTTCGCACTTCGCATCCGTCCTGAATACTTCATTTGTCAGCCGTTACGGCTTCAAGCAAGAAAACATGAACTTCTGTTCCTCAAACTGCTTTTCCAAGAACATGCAAACAAGCCTGACCAGCTTAGGCGCTGTAGCGACTGTACTCTTGCTGACAGCTGAAGCCCATGAGTAAAGGGGAGCCAAGTGCGGCTTCAACCAGAGCAACACCCGGCACGTAAAGCCAAGCCTACCAAGAAATTCTGCAAATCGATGGACATGGACAGTGTAACCATCTCTTCTCAGCTCCCGCAAGAAGGTGAGCAACCACTGCCCACGTTCCTCGCTGATGCCCACTGAAATGTTCATATAGTCAACACGATACCCAACGAACTGGACATCCAAGCCACCTGAAAATTTCTTGTAACCAAAAGGGGTGCCTAAGGCCTCATATGCCGCTATTGCCATCCACAGGGTCTCAAACTTCTCCTCACCAACGCAAACAACATGGAGGTCGTCAACGTACACGAGCTGTACGACCCATCTATTCAAAAGGACCCTTGCGACAAGCCGCCCAGCCAGGCCAAACAATCTGCTCCACCAATAGGGCGCACTGGACACCCCAAAAGTACCCACTTTGTTGACCCAGCAAACTTCTGAATCTGAATTGGCCTTGCAAACCAAAAGTCTCCAGTCGCTCTCGCGGATCTTGACCAACCTGTGGGCCGCCTTTATGTCGGCCGAAACAGTGAAGAAGGAGTCCTGTGTGTCCCTTGCAGCTCGAACAGCCCCAGCAACATCCGGCGGCCCAGGGTAGTCCAGCTTGTCTATAAACTGTATCCCATTGTTAACCTGGACGAAGTGTGTTCCATCATGTATGGGCCTAACACTCCCGTCCGGCTTCTTGATGGCTCCCATGGCAGCTACAAGAATAGGTTTACCAGGATAGCGTTCCCTCAAGACCCCCATGGTGGTGGGATACATCATGCCCTGAGCCTCGTCCTCCCTAAATTTGTTCTCAAGGCCTTCTTGATTTTCGACTGCAGACTTATAGTTACGTGCCTCTTCCATGTACTCAGAAGCATCCAGGTTGCTCTGTTTCGTCCTGGTGCGGAAAACTGCAGGAGCAGGGGGTATGGGCTCTTCATACCCTACAGGGACGCCCGTCGCGAAGGCGTCCTTTGAGGCCACCAATATTTCAAAGTCAGGGTCGCCTTGGATCTTCAAAGTCTGAGCCATGAGGTCTAACAGGAAGGGCTGGCCTTCTGCCTTCTGCAGCGCACCACTGGGAGCAGGTAAAAGGGCGGCCCAGCGTTTCCTGAGCCTGTCAAGTGCCTCCTTGCAAAACGGTGACTCGGCCAGCTTCCCTGTAGCAAGCTTGAACGCCATCATGCGGAGGTCTCCCAATTGTTCATGAACAAAACCCTTCAGCAAGTCATGGACACGGTCATTGATGTCACGCGCTTGAGCGCTTTGCCCAACTCCTCTGCAATCAGGAGCCCACCTGTTAGGTGAGCACAAGCCAAAACCGTCAGTGATCTCCCTTTCTTCGCCAGACCATTCAACCATCATAGGCCTACCCCAGTTGGAGTCTGAAAAGGTGTGTTGAACCTCCGTCAACTTTGTATGCCCATTGGTCTGTGCCGCCGGCTTCTCATGCACCAACCGATTGAAAACACCATCAGCATGCTTTGGGTCGCCTCCGCACTTGTCTACCTCCATGGGCCGCACAAGACTGGTTGGTGGGTCAACCACCTTCGAAGCTGCAGCTGAAGCTGCATTCTCAGCCACTTTTGTTACCTCATGGGTTGGTGGGTCAACCACCTTCGAAGCTGCAGTTGAAGCTGTATTCTCAACCACTTTTGTTACCTCGTGGGTGCCCCCTTTCCGAAGGACGGAGACCACGAGGTTGGCCAAGTATTTGCACAAGCCAGGTGGATATGAGGCGGCGGGTCCTGTGACCCAGCGCCCCTGAGAGTCCTTGCCAATAAGACGCCGGACATGGCGCGTGTGGGTGCACTTAGCAGGCAATGGCCCCACATATTTGCCCTGCTCATCGAAGGCTGGCCATTTGGAAAACCTTGCTTTGATGCCTGGTATTGAGGAAAGAAACCTTGTAGGCTTGCTAGTGTCAGCTCCATACCCGCATTGAAAGATCGCCCAGGTTGTTGCATTGGTTATGATCTGCAGGTCACGCATCTCATCCAGCTGCCAAATGGATGCTGGCGCCTCGCCATTGACTGTGCCTAGGTCCTCCGGGTGCTCAATCAAAAAGAAGGCCAACTTCAAAAGCAAGGTGTGCTGCGCGTATGGTTTGAGAAACAAAATAATTTGCCAAATCAACTTTCTTACGCTGTGCTGCGGACAGCCATGGAAAACCCCATGGCCAAGACTTGTTGCGCTGTGGTCGGGGACCTGGATGAAGTTGCCACTGGAATCGAACTCGCGACCATGTCCCACAAGGAGGTGACATAATCAACACATCATATTTGCCGTCTCTGATCTCTGTAAAAATCTCCTCCCAAAGCTGATCACGACTGAGGTCATCAGACTCAGAGCGTTCAATGTCCACTTCGCGGACATGCAGGGTAAAATTCTGCGCCTGGGAGTATCCATGCAAAAAGGAATTGATATCTGCTCGACGTGGGGCTCCTGCAAACAAATAGAGAACCCTCAAGGTCTGCTTGACAGATCCATGACCCTCCTTTGAAGCCCCACGTTCTGCCTGTCACTCATCGCCAACCTTGCTCTTGTCATCGCCTCCTTGTTGCGAAGGTTTGTTGTTGGAGTACTTATGGTGTTCCCGTGCCGAATGCTTGCCATAGCATCCTCTGATCCTGCAAGCATGGACTCTTCCACACTTTCCTGAACACCCTTGGGCGTTGAACGCAAAGCATAGTTCTCTGCTGTCTGGTGTGTGTGTTACCAGACTATTGCCATTGAAGTCCCTGGAGCCCTTGCCAGACTTACCTTTGCCTTTGCCACCTTTCGATGGTGCTCCTTTGAAACTGGATTTCCCTTTGAAGCCTGTGCGCTGCCATTTGTTGGGCTGAACTGATGGTCGCTGATTGTTCCATCCAACACCAAGGGCAATCGGTGCTGTGAAATGCGCCTCCTTGATCTCCGCGTCTTTGATGACGGCAGTCAGGCCTTCCGCAACTGTGTGTGTGCCTGCCTGGACAAGCTTGAACACCTCTTTCCGCATCTTCTGCTCATAGCTGAGAATGACAGCCCAAGGCGGCTTCACTGCATGTGATTGGCCTTCCACGTTGAACTTCAATCCCAAAACCTTTTCACCCAGCAAGTACTCTGTGTATTTCGACCAGTGCTGTAACTCCAGACCGTGAAGCCATGTTTTGTTTCGAAACTTTGCTGACATGCAAAGCCAGCTGACTGCTTCCAACTTCAAAGCTTTACGGAGGGACTCTGTGTCCTCAGGAAGACGGCCCTTTGTCTTAACCTTTGTGACCCTGACATGGCCTGACGAATCCAGAGACGTCTGTAAGGCCGAAGAGCTTGTGTCAGCCCTGGATGAGATCTCATCAAGCCCCAGCGCTTGAGGCTCATTTGCTTCGCACTCCTCAACCTTCAGAGCCAGGTACTCATTGCTGGGTATCTCAACGTCTTGTAACTTACCCAAGACAACTTCGACTGCTTTGACCATTGCTTGACGTTCTGTATGCTGCTAGACTCGTGGCATACCAAGCACCTTCGTTTCAGCTTGAAGTTCCTGTTCTTTTGAAGTCATTGTGCGTGAGAGCTCCCACGCAGTCAACACCTTGGCCACGTCAGCCCTGGTCTCAGGACTTGCTGCTGGATCTATACGGAAGTCAGTGCGCAATGCATCGCGCACTTCAGCCTTTGTATCACACATAGAGCTGAAGACCTTCATGGTCTTGTAGTGCTGGGCCAAAGTGTGTTGAGTGGTGAGGGACACATCAGCCTCTTGCCAAATGTATTGCAGGTCCGAGCTGACATGCTCTGAGATATAAGCCCTTCGTGCAGCGTCGTCAGCCATTGCCGGCAACGCAAATGACCAAATGAACTAACTTACTAAGATGGATGAAAGTGACCTGAACAAAAGTGGAGTGAAAATCATCTGAACCGTCAAGCAAAACTGAAGTAAAATAACAATCAAACATCGAAACACGAAACCAATCTGACCTGTCAAGTGAACTGAGGGATGAAATGCAGTCACTGGAAACGCTCAATCGCCTGAAATTAAATCAAGTTAAATGCGCCCTGAATCTGACTCTGAATCTGAAGTGGCTCCGTGCCGCAACATAAAGTGTGCTGCCGCCCTCTGACATGTTCACTGAATCACAAGATTGGGTGACTGCAAAGATTTTCAAACTGAATTCCCAGAAATCTGCAAGGCAGCCACTGATTCTGAAAGCATTTCTTTTGACACCTCCGCCAAGCTGAGTTGGTGACCACATCATTGTGTGCATTGGGTCACTCCCTATCTACCTGGCCTGCCAACTGACGGGTGCCGCCAAACTGACATGTTGAGACAACGTGAAACAAGTACACGTCAAAATAACAGAAAACGCAGCACCGAAAACACAAACTGTCAAGTGAAACAATTCACCAGTCTGAACCACTCCGAGGCGGGTGCCAGCGATGCAGGCGTTTCAGGCCACTTCGGCCCATGAGTGAACATGTAAAAGTGGTGGCACTGTACTACTGACATGTCGTGATTGCAGTGGATCACATCACAAAACATGAAACTGACTTGACCTGAATTCAAGCTCTTTAAAATCAAACCCTTGGTGAACTCACGCCAAGGCCAGTGCCCACACGCCCAGTCTTTGTGCGTGTCCGTGACGCGGATGCACTTGTGTGCACTTCCAATCTGAGACACCTGCAATGTGAAACGAAAGGATCAAGAACAAACAAGATGAGGTGGACAACAGCAAAATTCTAACAAACGCCAGTGCATCCAGGAATCTTAAACTGGTTCAACTAATTTGCATTGGGTGACAACTGCAAAATCCTAACAAACACCAGTGCATCTTGGAATCTCAAACTGGTTCATCTAATCTGCATGATTAAAGTGGCTCGTCACCTGAGGTCTCCGCACTCGTTGATGACGATGAGCCATCACTTGAACTGCTACTGTCAGACCCTGATTCAACTTGTTCCTTTAAGAAACGTTTACAGACCCTACAAATCGCATCAAAACTGGCGCATGTGACCGATTCGACACTCTCAGTCTGTTGACATCTTTCAGCATGAACATGGCATTTTCCAGTCACATGCAGTCTCCTGAAGCCTGTCCTCCTCGAGACTGTGACGAAGTAGGTCATGCCCTCATCAGGGTCATCGGGAGCAAAATGCTCACCTTCAGCCTGTTGTTGGATGTTCTCATCCTCTGACTCTTCTTCATCGCCACGTCTGATCAGGTCCTCTGCCCTGGACAACGGCAGCATTTTGTGCCTGCGCCTGATCCGCTGCCCACTCAAGTCTGCCTTCTCAGCAAATTCACGCAGATTGTCCAAGAGCTCGTTCTCGTCGTAGGTGACGCCCTCACCATAGAAAGACTGCATGACCTGTTGTTGGATTCTCTCAGTGATCTGGCGCGATGTCAAAAGGTATGCATTGGACCCAACACGTCCTATGGACCACCTGCCAAGAAAATCCCTGTCATGTTTGTCACATCCAATAGCCGCCGACGCTTGTGGAAGAAAATGCCTGGCACTATGCCCCTTCCAGAAAAGCGACAGCTCAGCTGGAACCAGCTCCATGTTGGCGTTCACACGCCACCGGCCATCCTCAAACTTCGGGGTCCCAAGCATCTGAAGCACCATCCTGAAATAGTTGGCCAGCTGCGGTGGTTCAACCAACTTCTTCCTCATTGCACGCCAGTCAGCTGTAGGCGCTGGAATCAAATAGTCCCTGGGGAAGATCGCACTTTCATGATTGAAAAGTTGTAACCCTTCTTCCATCCAGTCATGGCCAGAAAGCGAAATACTTCTGTGTACAAATGCATGGACCTGCCCATGGATTTTGCCAGGCCCTGTAGTCTTGGTGCGCGACATGCGGACCGTGAAACCTCTTGGTGAAAGCCGCATTGTTTCTGGCATCACACACTGGATGTCATCCACACGCATGCAACCCCATGTTGCAACCAAAATGGTCCATGCAATGACACGTGCATAATAGTCCCTCTGATCGTCCATGACAAACAACTCCAGTGCCAACAAAACTGATACAGTGTAAGGTGGCGCTGACCCACGTGGTCTGCTGTTTGTACTCAGTTCCTGGCTCCAGCTATGTAGATGAGCTTTCCACGTCGGATCCATGGAGAGCTGGTTGCACTCCGGGACTCTGCCACACCTTTCAAGAAGCACAAGTGATGCCTGCAGCTCTGTATGTATTGACAGGGCACATCCAAACTGTATGCATTCCTCAATGTAATTCACCAAATCTGCAACTGAACGTGGCCACAAGACCCCTGCATACGCAACCAGCCATAGCCTATACTTGCACCAGCTACGAAACCTGTTTCGCAAAGTCTTACCCCTGCGGGCCCCAAAAATCCGTTTCCATGCTTTGTTGGGGTCATCAAACTGTTGTACCTGATAAACCACTGGCAGTCCAGCTTCACTGATGATTGTTGCAAGCTCCAGCGCAAACTTGGTCCTCAATGACTCCTCCAGCTCTGCCCTGTTCGTGCCAGCAGTCTTACGTTGTTTTGAAACACGTTTCGCAACTTCTAAAGCATGCTTTGGGTCATCTTTGACCATGGTTTCATATGCATCTGAGGCCTCCACAGGTGCATCCACCCTCTTTGCAAACAAACTACACTCAAGCTCAACTGCAACCGCACGCCTCTGTCGTTTGAAAACAAACTGCCTTGACACTGACCACTCCACCAACCGTGTTGCAGCTTCACCAGATAAATGCTGTGCATCCAAACCTGTTGATTCAGCTAACTGATTGAACACTTCTTGTGCCTCAAGTTCAGTGTCAAAAGCGTTTGCAAAGGAAGATGGATTCTTATACAGTTGTGCAGCTGTACTCAGGATTTTCGGCCCCAGAAAACTGAGCCCTGCCCACTCATCTCCGACCATGTGCGGCCGTGAGGCATGCGTAGCGCCCCTCTTACTAAAAAATTGAACAGCTAAAACTGCAAGAAAAGGTATAAATAATTCGAACCCTGGGGTTTCATAAATCAGTAAACAGTAACTTCAAACGAACTAAACCCTAACACTGACAACCATAAACAAAACCTTCACAGGCATGCACAACTGAAACTGAAACTGAGGCAGTAACAAAGAGGTTAAACAGGCAACAACTCAAGGCAACAAAATAAACCAGACTGAAACTAAACGAACATGTCGCTCGCAACGCGGAAGCAATCATCAACACCCTTCCTTAACATCGCCGCGGGAGCAGGAGCAGAGAGAGGAAGGAACGCGGCAGCGCGAAAGGCGACGGCCAACAACAGCGCCCCAGCCACCCACCCCAAAACCCAACGCTTCCAAACAGTCACTTTGGTAACCCAAACTGTCATTGTGACAGGGCACATCCCGACTGAGGCACCTGATGTAGAAATGGCCCAAGCAACCTCGGAAGCAGACATGCCACCAGCCCCTGCCCAAAGCTCCTCTCCGAGTGCTGCACCCGCCCCAAAGGCACGACGAATAGCCCACCCTGCCAATCGCACAGCAGATGATTGGGTTACCGCACTCCAGGATAGCAGAGCCAGTTTCCTAGCTACAACCGCTGTGCCAGAAGACCCTGCGGAAGCAATGAGGGGAGGACTGCTTCTCACCCCCCTACTCGGCTGTAGGGCTAGAACCCCACTTGACTGGACACATGCATGGGCAATGTTGGGCGAATGGGCAGGAGCCATTGCATTTCCCATCCCGGAGCGAGGAGAATGGCCACGTCACGGGGATGGCCGATACCTTAGACCGGACTTCGTCGAGCGGACCCCGCCATTCCTTACCTGGGCACGCCCCATTTTCGAACAAGGTGCACTCTCCCCTCTGTCCGTTTTCCCAGCCGACTTCCCCATACTCTGTCTTCCAGGAGACAAACTGTTCCAAAGCAAGGAGTTAACCATAGGGTATAGTCTGCCACCTATAGTGCACGCCTTCCATGGGAGCAAAGTAGGCCTAGGACAACAACTCCGACAGTGGCTAAACAAAGGGCTGCAACCGCTTGCTGTGTCGCTCATAGGAGTCGACGAGGCACCACCTTTGTGGACACACCCCACAGGCTGCGATTTTGTTAGAGGGAGTAAACTAATCGCCAAGCCGCATGTCCTGCAAAACAGAAGCCTTACCAAGCTGCAGGTGTTGCTTCTTCAGAGTCTGTGGACACCGGTGGAAGCCCCCAACAACAACAATGACCATACACCTTGGTCCAAGACTTGCGATCCTGCCATGGTTTTCTGCGGTCAGCATGCGAGCCTCCAGCTCCCCAGTGCCCCAATCCTCCCTCTGCTGGAAGCGCTGCAACGGCGACTGGGCATTGACCCTGGCAACGCAGAACTAGCAATCAACGAAGTGCTTGCTAGCCATACTGACCCCCAATACACTGCTTGGAAACTCACTGTCATGGATAACACCTCCTGGCAACTCAATGACGCTGACCCAGGGTCCCTGGAAGTTCAGTGCACTGGGTTGGGTGGAGGAGAACTCGATGAAGACTGGGACGTACTGCTAGCCTGCAAAAAGGAAGCACATGTTTACGGGCCATCCCTGAGCAAACAGGACGATTGGAATGCAAGAGCTGGCACAGTAGCAGGCACAGCTCACACACAAGAATACTTGCTCCTGCACATCGCCATGTTTCCCATAGGTGCACACTTCTGGTGCCGCGTCTTAGGCATGCCCAGTGCGAACCAACTGCAAGCGCAGATTATCAGTCGGGCCATGAAGCTGTTGCACTTCTGTCCCATCACTCCAGCACACAGGAAACCGCCGTGGCCCGGGTACATACATGGCCTGCGACTTTTCACTAAGTTGCTAGTTGCACACCCGCTAGTCGGAGTATGTCTGCCCC